CGTCAAAATCAGAATGAATCTTCCGCGTTATGGGTCTCGTTAGACACTCCTAAAAGAATCCTAAAATTTTTAGGACGAGTCCTAAAGGTTTTTTAGGATTTCGTGCGGCTTCGTTACACGCACTCCTAAAAATCATCTTTTAGGACTCGTCCTAAAAGGTTTCCAGCGGCCCGTTTTCATATGCGTATACGCAGCCGCACCGCCGATGTCCGTCCATTCCTCGGCAGTGTCCGTGGTACAGAATGCGGTGGGCCTTGGGCGGGAGTCGATGGATCGGTGAAAAGCGCGGTTCCCCATAACTTCAAAATTTTGAATTCGAATTCTCGCGGACGCGTGCGCCGTGAAAAAGACGGCACCTCCCTGCCGACGCGTGTGACTTGAAAAATACGGCGCCTCCCTGCCGTTCGCCGCGCGGAATCCATCTTTCGAGTGTACGCAACTTGCGAGGAGCGTGCGCATGATCGTGTGAGCCGCACGTTCGCCTCCGGCGTGCGTACCGTCCTTTGGAAGCGTGGAGCACCGGACGCGTGTCCGTCTCGTGTGCCATTGCACAGCAGCGTTGCCATCGTGGACTCCGGCGTTGTTTCTCTACGACGGCAGGGTTCCGCGGCGGGCGTGTCTGAGGCGGCTGTCGAAGGTGTGACGTGGCAAACCGTGCGAGGATTGGCAGAGATGGACAATCATGGTTGCTCAAACGTCTACACGACGAAGAGATCGACGCCGTGGCGATGGCGGTGACTGCCATCGTTGTGAACACGATGGGCGACAAGGAGTCCTCGTCGCGCGACATGCTGACGCGGCTCCGGCAACGAAGACCGCTGTTGCAGAGCGTTGCAGAGGCGCCGGATTGCGCGGCGACGTGTGAGGCAGTCGTCCAGTTGTGTGCCGCTGTGACATCTGGCGTTTTCCCGCGGCAGACTCCGCGATGGTGGATCAAATGACGGACGGGCGGGACATGGGAGGACCTCCGGCTTCGGACGACGCGACGGACGAGTACTTCCGACAGAAGCTGCGCATGTCGACGGCCATGTTCAACCACATCGTAGCCGCGTGCGCCGCGTACATGGAGAAGAAGGTGACGCACTATCGAATGCCATTGCCAGTGGAGCAGCTGATTGCTTTCGCTTTATACAGGTGGGCGTCCGGAGAGACGTACGAGAGCGGCACGTCAGCATTTGGCATCGGCAGGGCAACTGGACTACAGGCCGTCCGCGACGTCACTTCGGCGCTGCTGCAAGCGTACCCCGACGCGATAAAGTGGCCAATGGGCAGGAGACGTGCACAGATTCTGCGCGCTTTCCGTGAGAAGGGTTTCCCAAACTGCTTCGGCGCTATCGACTGTACACACATTGTGGATTTGGATTTGCAGATCCTCGACGTCCACGTTGGATACCCTGGAAGTGTGCACGACGTCCGTGTCCTGCACAATTCCCAGTCGTTTAGGCGTGCAGAAAGTGGCGAGCTGTTCGACGCAACTCCGGAGAATCTGCCGCATGGTGTCGTCACGCGAGGCTACCTGCTGGGCGACAACGGTTATCCAGTTGCATGTCCGTGGATTGTGTCGCCATACAGAGGAATCGACCAAGGTGCTGACGAGGAGCGCTTCGACACGCGGCAAAAGGTGGCACGAGGGTGTGTGGAGAGGGCATTCGGCCGACTCAAGTGGATGTGGCGTCTGTTCTTGCGCACCCATAAGACGAACTTAGAGACCTTGCCACAACAATTCGTGGCTGTCTGCACTCTCCACAATATCCTCCTGAACGTGGGGATCGACTTCGACGAGAACCTTCTGTGGGAGGTGGATGCGAACGGCGTTCGGCGTAGAGTGGACTTGGGCATTGTGGGGAACGGCGCACGCGGGCAGGGACGGTGCACAAACGTGGAAGGTGAATTGTTGAGGGATGCACTGCGAGACCGCCTAGCTTTGATGTAGGACCGTGCGGTAGGGAGGTGGTGCACACGGGGTGGTTCGATCGGTAGGCGGCTGGAGTTATTACGTGGTC